TTGTCTAATAAATGCACTGTTAGTGGAGTACAATATATCCCTCTGAAATGTAGCAAGTATTAAGTCTAAAGTAGCATAAAAAAGTGACTCAAAATTGTACTTATTATTATTATACTTAATCACAGTATTTGATTAAATGTACTTAGTTGCATTGCACCACCATTTTTATAGTTAGGTTGGGAAGCAAAGAGTCGATGTGGATCTGGTGCAGTTTCCTTCCTCGAGGGCTAAGGGCATCTTTCTCTTCCAGCAAAGCAAAGTACTTATCTGATAAACTGAACTGAGTCTGTGATTGAAAACATTGAAGCCAAGGACTAATAATTGTTGTTGTGGCCATGGAAACTATAATCAGGCCCAGTTGGATAAAGACAAATTAACAGAATTGCATAACCATGTCAGTGTTCCAGGGTAATCTCTTTGTGTCCGCATGTGGGTGTGTGTTTGTGTGAGCACTGATGGTGTACTTTGCACACAATGAAGTTGAACCTCTTTTCACTATTTAAAATGTTGAAACCAGGGCATTACTAATAAACAACATGGATCATTATAATCTGTGTGTGCAGAGATTACACAGGTATAAAGTATATACTTTTAAGTATTACAGCAGCACCCACTCAACATGTTACTCAAACACACACACTGTTTCTCCTCTCTTCCAGAGAACAAGAAGCTAAAAACATCCGAGGAGTTGCACATCTTGGTTGAAAGCCAGTCAAAAACCTCCACTCTCAGAGGCAGGGACGTCCAGGCTCTGGCCATTAACCCACAGGACCTCCATAAAGTAAACCCACTTCATCCGTATGCTGTATTTGCCATTTGTTAAAAAAAATTAACTCCAAACAAGATACAAATCATGTGTGTGTGGCAGCAGGATACTTTTATTCATTATTATTTAACTGAGTATGTGATTATGACTGCAGCTTCATATACCAAAGCCACCCAAGGGCCGTCAAAAACCAGTGCTCATAGCTAAGACACAGCCATCTGATGAAGATAGAAATGCCGTGGCTCATCCAGTGAACCTGGACCTTGACTCTCAAGCTCTGGGCTACGCAGGTTAGTTGTATTCTTTCGCCCTCATGGATAATAACATACAGTACAGTAGCATATTGAAACATAAGTCTTAGTCATAATGTGCATCCTTGAAGCTAAAACCCCACTTTTTTTCTGTCCCTGTCCTCTTTTCACAATCGGAAGGGCTTCGGTTTGATGAACAAGGCATGATTCTTCCACATAGCATCCTGGGTAGTTTAGAGGATTTCAGAAGTTATCTGGAAGCCAAAGGGGAGACAGAGGTAAATTCAGAACCAATATAAAAAGAGAATTAATTTGATTTACATACAGTATTTAAAACCTGTCAAGCTGCTGCGTAAGTTACCTCTAGTTCCTTCTATCCTCGCTCCACCTTCCAGTTGATGAAGCGAATACCAAACTCCCAGAAAGATCCTCCATCTGCGGCCCCAGTGAGGCGTCACTCTGAGGCCGCGGACAAAGGGCGTGAGCTCCCCTCAGACTCCAGAAACATCCAGAGTAATGCCCTGCAGCACTGGCATACACATATGATGCAGCGCAGACGGCAGCAGGGCTTCTTATCTGGTGAGCAGATTAGAGAGTACAGCAACCTGCACCAGAAATGGACCTGTTTACATCATTATTACAACCTTAATCTGTAAACTACAGCAGGGAATCTCAGATAAGGTTTCTCTTTTAAAGCAAAAAAAAGAGCAATATATTTGGTGCTTTAATTTCCCTTTGTATTTATTAACTTCTCCTCTCCATCTATTTCTTTATTCACCCTTTGCCCTTTTCAACTCTTTCAAGACTTGCTTGACAGGCCAGTCGAAAACTTACTGATGAACCAAGCAAACCGTTTCAGAGAAACTCAGGAGCAGAGGGAATTTCTAAACCAAACAATGCCACTCATCCACTCTGGATATGTATGACTGTCTTTAGTTGTCTGCCATACTCATATTTGTCATATTTCTACAACAAATAACATTTCTTAAGCTCTGTTATCCTTTCCTCTGTAGCGTCTTCAGTCGTGTGTCTTTACTTGTTGTAGGGTAATCGTGTGGGCAGTGAGTTTTGGAGTCTCCCCCAGCGTTATGGAGATGAAATGAGTGGCATCTCAGCCACTCTGACACAGACGGAGCAGGGCAGACGGGGACCTGTCACACATGTAGGACAACCAAGCAGCATACGCCAGGAATCAGGTACACACAGACACCTACAGTATGCCATGCCCCAGTTCTTCCCTTCTGCCTTGTTATTAACCCTCTTCCTTCTGATTGTGAGTTCACATAAAACCAAATGGTGTCCCAAATTGAAAAAAAAAATGCTCTGTGAAGTTAAATAAGCCCACAAAAGAAGATGAATTGCAAAGAGAGGCAATGCAACGTAAAGTGGATGTGTCTGTTGCATACAGCATCCAAACAACAGAAGACGAAGAAGAGCCTCTTTTTTACGGGACTACTCTATAATGAGAGCTATATTCTCTCTGTGGGAAATGTTTCATCCTCTAGGAATAATCTGTGTTGAGACTCTGCGTCCAGCCTCTCGGACTTGGGACCAGAGTGTATACCTGCAGCACCGGTGCCAGGAGCTCAGAGAGGTCCTACAGGACTTGGACGTCAAAAAGCCGGTAACACAAACATATGAACTTTAACACTGAATGCTGCCTTGGTTCGGTAGCACTTCAAATTAATACAATTGGTTCTATTGTAACCTTGCAATAAGCCCCTTAAACTCATAACATTTCCTAATGAATAGTAAAAATGTAAAAGGTTGAAAAGGTCAAAGGTTTTTAATGAGAGCTAAACACCACATAGGCTGAGCTATTTGCTAATACATCAGTATCAGCGTGTTTGTTGGCTGTTAAGCAACAACAAATTACTGTATAGAATTGCCACAGATAATGTATGTTTGAAGTCCACCAGAGAGAATTATATTATCTAGCTGTAAAATATTCCACTCAGCACATATCTTGGACATAATTGTTTTAAACTGTAGTATATAAACATATAATTACATGGGATGTATTGTATACTTACTCAGGTTCTTATGAGTTACGGCCTGTTGGCATTTCCAGTAAAGCATGACAAATCACAAAAACATAAATAAACGTATAAACATGTCATTACCTTTGGGTACACTGGTGATTGTGTGATGCAACACCATTAGATATGTAATGTATGATGCCTCCAGTGTGCCTTTTGGAGTCCACCACTGTGGGCCCAACTGCACGCCACCTTTTTGCCTATATTTGTCTACATTTTGCTGAATTGGCACCAGTAAAACCAGTAAAAGTATGCCGAATTAGCTAATAGCAGTTCCTGTTCCTGTACTCATGTCTGTAAAGACAACTATTACTTGATTCCTTTGATTCTGAAGAAAACGTAAACATGTGACGGAGTTATAAGGAGTGTCTCTTTGTCTATGATTTCTAAGCACATGTATGGATCCTTTGTTTGAGATGGATATTCCCAGAAAGTGTAATCCACACTGAACCTGAAAATATATGTCATGTCCGTGTCCATTAGACTGGGTTACAACTCAGTGAACGAGCGCCATTTTTGATGCATATTGCAGATATTGATACTGCTGAAGCTTCACCTGCTGACTGTGTTAGTGAGCGGGCCAAATCAGTGGTCCAAACTACAACAACCTTCAACTTTGTTTTTAGAACATCTTTCATGCAGCTGTCCCTTCACCTCTGTCCCTCACAGTTCTAAAACTTGAGGCCACAATCCAAATCATCATTATTCACATTACACCTTTTTTTCTGTTCTAACTAACATTGTACAATTATCTAATTTCACAAACAACTTAATTACCATTTGTCTTCCAACCACACATCTCACTGAAGCTGCTCACACCCTCAGGACATTCTGTCTCTAGATGCATGGACTGCTAGCTGCTCATGATCGTCTTGTTATCTTAAAGAACCCTGTGGACATCCAGCCACTGTTCTTTGTTTTTTTCTTTTTCTGAGGAACAAACCACAGCAGTTGGCCAAAACAGACAACCCAATGCCAATGCACGCCCACACAAATACACACATGTATGCGGGCGCACGGTCAAAACACACACACAAATCTGTTCACATACTGTTGTAATGTGTAAATGTGTAAAACTGTAAATATGTGATGATACATTTTATCACCTGCAAAACATGCACATGCATAATGAGATTAATGAACCACTGCAGCCCTTCCATAAACACTTGTGTGTTCATGTACATGCTAACACAGAGATCTGGAGTGTGTCCAGTCACAGAGTAGCACTGTTCATCAGTAGATCTGTGGGGTGACAGAGCCCAAGAAAAGGGACCGAACGTGCCTTATTGCTCTCTCTGCATTACAATGACTCTATCAAAAGGGAGCAGGAGGTTCTGGGGTAAACACTTGCACTAATGTGCACTTCTTTGCACAGCCAGTTCCCATTTAATCCTATTTCAAACCCTAAGTAACAGGTGCTGATTATGGGAAGGTTTATTCAAATTACATCTTTTTTTCATCTCCCCCATCTCTCCCTCTCTTGCTCTCGCTTTCACACACACACACATAGTCACATCTGTGACATGAGAGGAAATGGTAGCAGTGTGTTCTGTCGTGCTGGAGTATCCAGCTGAAGTATCTTCTGAGTATCACACAGACGGAGACAGATCGTCCTGTCAGCATCTGACTTGTCTATGGCTTTGTGACATATGTGCAGAGAGAGAGATGATGGTGGGAACAGGAAGGGGTTATTAAGAGGGAAAAGAGGAGAGAGAGAGGATGGTAAGTTGTTAGAGAGGAAGGAGAGAAAGCAGAGAAAGCAAATCAACCCTCCAGTACAGGAGAGAAGTTTGAAGTTTTAGGACAGGGAGAACAATATTTGCCTTTTTTCACTCTGCCTGTCACATAATATAGTGATAGAGCTCTGTCCTCACTGATAGCTTCATTCAGAGAACATTCAGATGTCTAATACTGTTAGGGGAAGGGAAGTAAAGCAACTTGGAAGAGTTTGAAGGACAGTGTATGTGCACCTTGATAAGCTTTAATGTAGTCACTGACAACTGGACAGTGTGTTCCACAACACCTCGTCCTGTCATGTTGAACGTGTCGTTACCTAATTTTGTCCTCTCTAGCTGTACCTTCTGGACGTGAGTGGACAGGATGTACGTATCTACTGATGTTGGACTGAATGACCAGAATGTCGAATGAACATGCAAAGCTGACCTCTTCCTTCAAAGCTACCGCTCTGTGTCACTTTGATTACAGGACATTGATGGACTGGAGGTGATTGGCGCTGGCAAGCCAGCTACTTTTGTCACAGTGTGTCGTAGTCCCTTACTGGAAAAGGAAGAAGAGGAGAAGGAGCACAACAAGAAGAAGGAGGAGGACCTGTGAGAAAAAACTTTTATCTTATTTATTCAATATTTTTTCATTCTTCTTCAAAGTCCAACTTTTTCGAGTATTAATAAGTGGAAATCTGAACTGTGACACAGCTGATGATTAACATACTTATTCACTAAATGTCTAACTCATGGACTGTGTGCTACTGCTGTCCTCCACAGTGATCCACTGGCACAGTATGATAATGTTCGGTCTGATGCTCTCCTTATTCCTGCCTTGAGGTTCGGTGGTCAGCTTGCTAGCTGGACTGGAAACTCTGCCACTAAGCAGGTACAGAACGTCTTTCACACAGTTTGGCGTTATAAATTATAGTACAGTATACATTTCAAACCATAACTAATGTAAATTCTCAAATATAATAAGTTACCTCAAAGAAGTGCAGCCTTATTTTAGATGTTTTTATTTATTTTATCTCCTGTTCCCAGTTAATGAAAACGCTACACTTCCCCCATATTTGCCTGTTGACTTGACAAACTCAGTATATGTCCATTTCCACAGCACTAATTCCATCACTACAGCAAGAGTCACGTCAGATGTTCCTCTTTGTTTGTTTCTCCGAACAATGTTAAGGTACCTTAAATTAAAATTAACTTTGAATTAACGTATTAACAGTCTTTGCAGCCTTTGCTTTATATGTATGCTTTTAATGTGAAAAAACATGCAATTTGTTTTTGTTGACTGTATGTTGACATCAATCAGGAGTATGGCAAAGGAGAAAACAACTAATGGCATTCATGCTGTGGAAATGGACATTATAATACATTTACCTTGTGAGCTGTTGTTGAAGTAATTTCACCCCCTCAATGTTTTCCTACCCGGCCTTTATTAGCAGCTGACCTTTTGTTTGTACAATCTGACACTGGGGTCAAAAACCTGTACCCGCAGTTTGTGTCTTACAGGTGACATTTGTCCTGATTTGTGTTTGTATCTTGTAGCAAATATTCACACACATATATGAACAGGTGGCAAGGTAATATGTTATTTGCTTTGCTTTGCTTTGGCTCTCCAACACTCATTGATTAGGGAGAAGTTGGAATCAATGCCACAATATTCTTTGAGGCCCTGACTGGAGAAAGAGCCTCATCGCACCTGGAGCTGCACAACGAAGGCAGCACAGCTATCTTTTACAACTGGCAGCAGCTTCTCGTGCCACACAGCTTTCCTAACCTGCCATCACAAACAAAGAGTCCGCAATTCTACTTCAACTGCTCCTCTGGTACACACAAACACAATCACACACCTGCTGCCACCGCTCTCACGTCATACACTGTTTGTCCCTGTGTCAGCCCATCATACTGTGTCTGTCAACCAGTACTCAAGCCACCTTTCTGCTTTCCATTTTGCTTCCCCTCCAACCCAAGGTGTGATCCTTCCAGGTGACACCCAGCAGGTGGAATTTATATTTAAGTCAGAGAAACCAGGCATCAAAACAGAACTGTGGCAGCTCAACACCCACCCCGTGCTGCTGCAAGGAGCCTCCATGCAGGTCACATTGAGGGGCGTGGCTCTGTACCAGGACAAAACTGCAGACCAGAGGCTGTTCTTAGAGGTGGTGTGCAATTAAACGGTGAACGGTGTTCAAGGTTTTTATAAACAGAAACCCATATGTGTTTTTGTCTGTTTCTGTGTGCACAAGCAGACGAAGCTGGAAAAGATAGTGATGGTAGAAATGTGCAGGTCGATTGTGTATGAGGTGCTGCAGGGGGTCCACACCCCAGAGAGACCCAGCTCACCTGCAGAACTCTATATCACTGAAGAGCAAAGGTTTTTAACCAAAAACCCCAAGGTAACTGCTATATATTGCTAATGTCAGTGTTCTCTGTGTGACTCTGCACTGTACAAAAGAGGATATGTTGCCATGGCAGTGCAATAGGAATCTGACTTGGTTAATTGGGAGGCTGATTAGATTGGCCTAGTGAATATAGAGCAGGTCTCCTCAGCTATAGGAGACAGTAGACAAATAGCACTGGTGAAACCAAACATTAAGAGTGTAATATTACCTCTATTTATAGGTCATCAAACCTGTAATTGGGATTTATAGAGGACTTTTCACACTTTATTAAATATTAGGATGATTACAACCCTCTTGGCTTTCGCATAGCCACATTTTATCACCACAAAGGGTGGCACACATATTTCTTCTCTTCCCTTGAGGAGTGAATGAAAATGGGGACATGCATCCTAGTTGATAGAGGAGATAACTACCAGGGGACGATTGTCATCCTGTAGTGTGACAGTTACTTGTATCCATGGGAGTCTTGTCGTCACGTGTTTGTACTTACTATTACTTACACTGTTTCAGCTGCAGTACCTTGATCAGCCAGTGGAGGACCTAAAGAGACTGTGGCAAGAGGTGAATCCAGGATGCTCCTGGGACCTCTCTGTTGATACACTCCGACAGGTAGAGACATTGTTTAGTAATAAAAACATAATAACACTCTAACAGTTCTGAATACTTTTAGCAGTACATTTAGCAGGTTGATACATTTAGCAGGTTATAGTCTTAAAGGCCTCATCGAATGCACCCTTTTGTAAAATTTTACACTATGATGATGCATCAAAGACATAACATATATGTCCATAGGTTGTGCTGTCTCTGTCCGACCAAGAGTCAGCTCAGGAAAAGAGCCTGGCCGAGCTCAACTCTCTGCTTCTGCAGCTTTCTGAACCTTCTGAACTGAAACACCACCATCTAACAGCAGCAACTATAGGGTGAGGCATAAACACACGAGTCATACACACATCCCCATGCTCCACAGCTGCACACTCAGTGTAGTAAACCCACACGTTACGGTGGTGTGTGCTGCCCCCTGCAGGCAGCAGCTGTGGAGGAAACTGCTGGACAGAATGGATGTTGAGGCCATGTGGCTCAAAAACCTGCTGGGCCTTCCAGAGAAAGACAAACGAGTCCATAAAAAGGAGGAATCCATAATTACAGATGCTGGTGAGATTTTCACTCATACTTTGGAAGGTATTGAATTCATGCTGGTTACTACTGTGTTATTGCATCACAGATACGGCTGACAACAAAGATGAGAAGAGTGAGAAAAAGGGAGCAGCACCTGCTAAAGAGGAGAAGAGTGGGTCGAGGTCCAGACTAAAAAATGGCAAAAAAGGAGAGTCCAAGTCAGCGGCAACTGAAAAGTCAGCGACAACTG